AGATCCAAATAATCCAAATACGGATTATATATATCAGATATGACCATATCATTGAGATAACATATTTTAATCGTTATTTATAAAGGAAATGAGCCTTAAAACTATTAAAGTTTAAAATAAAAACTTACCGACATGTGGGTGGTTCATGAACTGTTAATAAAAGTTATAGCAATTGTGAATTTTACAATAATAATCAAAATAGATACGTTAATTTAATTAAAGGACGTTAAGATGATAATTCATACGGCTGTTGTCCAAAACCTTGGAATTTTTTCAAAGATTTTCCGTCGTTTTTCGTAAATTGGTGCCAAAAGCTTCACATGTTGTCGTGCTATAATGATTGTAAGTGAAAAATATGTTAAAAGTCAAATCATCTCTAGCTAATTTAGTTTGTTGGCTTTATTTGGTCAAACCCAACCATCTAAAATCTATAAAGCTACACACCAAGCTCAGTTTCTACCTCCTCAAATTCGTGAAGCAAAGACTTCATCTCTTCAAGTACACCTTCGTCGATTGCTCCAGATTCACCATTGTTTGCTTCGGTTTTTGAGCTACTTGCCATCCTTACGACAACTCTTTTCAAATTCGCAGAAATCAACGAAGCAATTTAATTTGCACAAGTATTTAGCTTTATAAATAGCATTTACAATTATAGCTAATCAAGTTTTCATTGGCTTGACCGAAATTAGACAGGCATTGTGCCACGAAGTACCGGGATGATAGGAATCTGCCCTTGCAGAAGAATGTTCTATACAGGATTTCTTCCTATATATATATATCAATATAGATCATTTTTTAAAGTTGGAATGTTCATAGTTGTAAACAATTTCCAGAGTCTTGATCACAGCGCTTTTCAATTACTATTTTAAGTTCTATAACCTTTATACAAATCAATTTCGCACTATATCGAGAGATTTATTATTATCGTTATATTGAAAGAATTTCATATAGATTGGCTTTAAGTCTAACTTCGCTATATCGAAATTCTAGAGTTCAATATAACGCGTATCTTGTGTTTCGCAATCTCAGAAATGAATAAAAGCTCAATTTATTGTTCTGGCTGGTTCTCGCTCTGACATTTAATGACAAACCTTTATTAAAAGTTGTCCTGAATTAAAATTTTGCATATCTGATGTCGACATGAATGAATGACAAACCTTGAGCTTTCATCTGATTCCAGCCCATCTGTATACTACCAAATTTAATAAAAATCTGAAAATTGCTATTTTGATGTAATAAGGTATTACATTCATCTTAATGCTGTCTATTAATCTTAAAGCTAGTTTGCTTTAGTAGAGTTCTTACCCGGGTCGGGTTGACCCGTACTACTGTACTAGGGATGGTAAAAAAACGGTTTACAGTTTTTTAAACTTTTTTTTATTGTTTTAAAAAATTTATGCTAAAATTTGGTTGAAACTGAAATTACTGCTTCTAATTTCAGTTTCAGAAAAAATGCATTTCAATTTATTACAATTATTGTCTAAGGATTAGGTTACCCGCGGGTGGGTCGTGTAACTGGGTAAAGGTTTTGCTACTCGGGTAAAAAAAAGTAACCAATCAAATAAAAATATTTCCTCCAGACGGGACTATATTTGGTCACGTGATTGAACCTCATCCAATCAAATCGTATGATTTGTAGATTATACTTTACCCGGGTACTTACCCGGATAGGTTAGTAGTTAACGACAAATAGAGATGTTAATTGGTTTTACGTACAGTAATTGTTAGCCAACTTTAAGCAAGATTTATAAAAAATTGATAAATATAGAAAAATAATTTTTCTGTAACAATTTCTAATAGAAGTTTATTAGTTTTTATATTTAGTTTTTGAGTAATTTAGATAAAATAATTTAGATAAAGTAATTTAGATAAAGTAATTTAGATAAAGTAATTTAGATAAAGTATTTTAGATAAAGTATTTTAGATAAAGTATTTTAGTAACTATAACCGGCAGTGATCATCACCGGGGTGCTTATATCTCAAAAACGTACTAAGTAAACTGGATCGGGTACTCTAAATAAGACCTTATATCTAGGCCTCCGCATGGGCATGGGCTACTCATGGGTACCCGCGGGTAGGCCGGGCTAGGGTATCAAATCCCAAGCCCTAGAGTAAGGGTAGGGCTTGAGAAACTAAGCCCTTACACAAACGGGTAGGGTTTGGGTAGTACCACTACCTGACTCCCATACCTGCGGGTACCTATTATGTGAATTTCAGTTCATATTATTGGCTAATTTTTATCGACTTATACTGCTACTCAATATCAGATTATGAGTGTAAAGAACAATTATTAAATATTTAAAATAATTCATTTATTATTTTAATAAAAGCCACTATCTAATTCATGCAATATAATTTATAAATATAATAAATTTATTTATTAATTTAATGAAAGTTACTACAGTCAACTCTCTCTAAGTGCATATCATTGGGACCAAACTTATTGGGGTATGCATTAAAAGAACAATAAGAAAGAAGCATTTATAGAGGTTTGGTATATATTTGGGCCAGAAAATTGATATACATTTAAGGAGATTATATATTTAGGAGAGATGCATTTAGAGAGATCTGACTGTATCTAATTTATGCAATATAATTTGTAAATATAATGAATATTTATTAATTTAAGTATTTAAAAAAAAAAATAAATCTATTAATTTATATTTATTCATGTTAATTAAAAAATAAAATAAAATATAAAGTCCTATAATTATAGTAAATATATATATTGTAACAAAAATAAAATATAGTGTTTGATATATAATCTAGACAATGTCAATTCGAGAATAGATACAAATAGAAAGAGATTAATAAGATTAAGATTAGATAAAAGGCTCAACTTATAATTATGAGCTAAATACTAAATTAAAAACTGGCAATAGAGTGTTTTTATTCTGGTTAAATAAGAGTTATACTAAATCTAAGCTGACAAAAATTAGCTAACTATATAAATTAAATAACTAGACAACTAGTTATCTGGCAGACTATAAATTTAAAACTTGGTTTACTTTAGCTGATCTAATTTAAAACAGTCTTTCTATTAATAATAATAAACCTACAAGTACTCATAGGCTTTGTAGGCCAGACTAGGGTATCAAGTTTTGAGCTCTAAAGTAAGATAAGAGCTTAGAAGTCAAGCTTTTATACAGATAGGCAGTGTTGTATATAGAATATGTCCACACTATGTAAAATGTCCAATGTCCAAAATCATCCAAGCCTATGTTCCATGCTTAACTAATCAATAAAGTAATTTAAAAAATATATAATTATATATTTTTTTTAGATACTGAACTCATTGGTAAAAAAATTAAGATAGATTATCTTAATAAAATTTTAAGTAATTTTAATTTGAAAAAATGTTCAAAATTGTCCAAAATTATCCTATATACAACACTGCAGATGAGTAGAGTTAGAGTATTGCTATTATCCAGCTCTACCTAGCCTATATAGAGGCCTACTACTAGCCTACTTATATCAAATCTATATTATATTATATAAAAAAAAATTATTTGTTATAGCAACAATCTTTATAGCTTTTTGTATCTTTAGCTTTATAGCTATTTTTATAATTTCTAAAACATTTGATAAAAATTGGCTAAATGGCTTTTCAGCCAATTTAATTAAGGTTGTAATTTTGGTATGATCCATATAATAAAAACTATTTTTGTTTTATAATAACTGTTTTACAGACCTGTAATAATAATAATATTATTATTAAACTTTCGTTTGAATGCTTATTTAATATATTTAATATGTCAATTAAGTTTTAACAAAAAATATAAAAAATATACTATATATTAATTATATTTTTATAATAAATATATTGTATGAAGTACATATTAAAAGAAGATCTTGTATATAAATAAATATTGTTTTTATTTGTATATACAAGTTGGTTTGAGCCTTTCAAAATTGGTATAACATCTAACCAAAGTTTTATATCAAATTGTAATCTATATTTTTTTCATTAAAAGTTAAAATATTTTATATAATTCATATTTAATGAATATAGTTCTGAAAGCAATAGAAGCTTTTCAATACATTTATATTTTTGAAAGTGTTTAAAAAACCAACTTATTTTATTTTATTTTTTTTATTAATTTAGCAATCTTGCTAATACTTTATTAAGTATAAACATTTAAACTCACAGGTAAAAATACACTTTGACTAAAGTTATCTAAAGTTTATTTAATTTATGAATATTTGCTAATTTGGCTTTTTGTAACACCAAAGTACCCAAATTACCTATGTTTAATCTGCTATAGTAAAGTTTATCTCCATATTAAAAAACCTTACAAATGAATTTTTTGATACATTACTAAATAGTATTTATAGCCTATTAGATTGCCTTCTTTTCTAATTTTTTTTTTCTAGCTTTCTAAGCAGAACTTATAAAAAAAAACTAATATTAACAAAAATAAGAGAACTATCACTTATTATGTAATTATAGCCCTCTCTAGAGTCAGTCATTTGACAATTACAAGTTCTAAAGTAATCAATTGTTTGACAATTGTAAGCTCTAAAATAACCAATCGTATAGAGTTTATATTATGATTATTTTAGAACTTGTAATTGTCAAATAACTAACTCTGGAGGGGCTATAATTACATAATAAGTGATAGCTCTTTAAGAAAATTCTTCAAAACAAAGTCTCAAAGATCCTCATCAAAAGAGTCTATTTAAACTTTACAAAAGTTGCTAAGCCTGATAAACATGATCGAATAATATTTCTCCAAAAATATAATTATTGTGAGGACTGTTTTGATTTAGTTGACCAATTAAAGAGTCATTCAAAAAAACTTATCGCATAGTGGCAATATCTTGGATTTTCATTATCAATAAATAGGAACCTTCATAGCAAAAAGTAGCAATGGGCTAAAAAAAAATTTTTTCTTAAAAATGTGATTTCTTGAAGTTGGCATATAATTTTTACAAAATTACAAAATAAAATTTTTTTGCCCATTGCCACTTTTTGCTGTGGAGATCCCCAAATATAAAACTAATATAAAATGCTATAGAGATCTCCAAATATAAAACTAATATAGAATGAATAGTTGTATATATTGGCTGCAAGCTAAATTTTTTATTTAAAAAATAATAGTGATCAATAACTTTAATAAAAATTAAAGTGACAAATATATTAATTTTTGATAAATTCGAAATTATATAGCAACGCCTTTTTTAAAAAAATTTTCTTAGTCAAAAATTAAAATTAGTTAATCAAAAGCAATATTTACTGTTTTAGCAAAATTTTATCTTAAACTTAGACATTTTAAAAAAAGTTTTAAAATAATAAAAAAACATTTAAAAAACTGTTAAAACCATTATTTTTTACTATCTCTAATGTATGCTAAAATAAAATGTCATAATTACGATGTAAGATCTATTTTCTCTTTTCATATAATTTTTTGACATCAGTTAGCCAATTAAAAAATGATTAGCAAGTATCCAGAGTAAGACCAGGAAATAAAAAAATTTATATACATGTTTGTGAATTAGGCATTTTTATATTTATCACACTTTGCAAATTAGTGTAACAAATTATTACAGTATTTTAACAAT